CCCATCTTAGCTACTCAATAATTCCACTTCTTTTCTTCCTTCCTTTTATTTCTCTCTTTCTCTTATAGCTAGTCAATGAAATATGTATATGTCCATACATGTATATATATATATATATATATATTGTACACACACACCTATATATATACAGGGTGTTACAGAATTCCGAAATAAAATTTGTAGGTATGTATTCCGAAATAAAAATATGTAGGTATCTGAGCGGGGCGCAGGGGCGCCTTGGGGTCTGTTTAGGTAGTAGTAATCGTACGCATTTATAGGGTTGTCCAAGGCAGGTGTAAAACGATATTTTTATTAATTTAATTAGAAAATAAAAGTGGTCTGAAAGGCGTCAAACTTTCGTAGGTAATTCTATACAAGGAACACAACCAAACCCTAAAGTTTTATTTCGGACTTTTGTCACACCCTGTATATATATATATAAATACTTATGGAGCTAAAGAAGTTTCACTTCAGTCGTGTGGTCATATGAAAATTCGTTTTTTTTGAACAATTTTCTTTAGATCGTTTCCTTTGTTAATTGTTGATAGCCCCTGTGTTAATATTGTTTGTTTTGATGATTAAACGACACATAAAGTATCACTAATTACCTTATGCAGAGTCCACAATGCGTAATGAATTATTAATTTATTTGCTCAATGGTCTTCTTTGTTTTCGTGCGATATTTATTGCGTTCAAAGATATTTAAATACAATACTTAAATGTGATTGTTGGTTGCATTTCGTTTAGGCGAGAAATATGTCAAATACTTTCAGTTTTGGGTTTTCCCTCCATACCATTAACTAATTGCATACATGAGTAACTAACTACTAAATGTGACTAATAGGGGTAAGGGCATAACCACATTCTCAGATCAAGAATACTCTTGTGAATAAGGGCTATTATAAAATTGATGATTATCTAAATGATCGTAATGTATTGACATAGTGTTTCTTGTATTTTGTTATTTTATGAGTATTAGTCATTTTTCATAACAGTATTATGGTACCTATTTAATACCGCTTACTATAATATATTAAATATAAAGTTAACTATAAAATTTACTGTAACTATATATCTATATTCTTAATGATCTAATGGAAGGTGACTTCAGAAATATCTCTGAAGTCATTTTTCAACTTGACGACTCTGTATATAAAATACAGTGGGAGAAAAACAGCCCTTGCTGAGTTTCTTGCCGGTTCTTCTCAGTACAAGGGCTCCGGCCGTAGTTTTGCGATCAGATTCTTGACTTTCATAAGTGCTTGTAACAGCCTAGACTGAATAAATGATTTTTGATTTTGATAACGGGGTAGTGAGGTAAGATGGGTTTGCACATATACCTATACATGCAAATAAACGTTTGGGAATAGTAAGCAACAATCTAATAGGAAACCACAGCCGATCAACACGAAAGGCAATAATGGAATGGCACGCGTTTTTTGTTTACCAACTAAATGTCACGTAAGATTACTTGAATGTCACTTCTTTACTTCAAAACTTCTTTACGCACGCTTGACTCGGGGAGTAAGCTGGCAAATGCGTTACGCGTTACGAAAAGTGTGTTATGGCGAGGCGAACGGGAGTTGAGTGGGGGATATAAGCAAGAGAAAGCAGCGCGCGCACAAATTTTCTTTCTCTCTTTCTCTTATACTCGTAGCTAGTGTATGTATATGCACATACATGTATATATTGTACACACACACACACACACACGCACACACACACACACACACACGCACACACACACACACACACACACACACACACACACACACACACACACACACACACACACACACACACACACATATATATATATACATACAGATGGAGCTAAAGAAGTTTCACTTCAGTCGTGTGGTCATAAGCACACTTTTTTTTTAATAATGTGGAACATTGATTTCCATAAAGACTGTGCCAAATTGTTGTTCAATTAATAGGATATGTTACCATTAACAATGAAGACTTTTTAATATAACAATTATGCTATATTCTTATTAACCAACATAAAATGTAACTAGGACATGAAACCCAAGTTAATTTTAAAATTATCATTCTCAATGACACTTACAGAACTTAATAATGTCTCGGAATGCAACTAAAATTACTGGTCCATTTACTGTGTTATAATATTACCAAGTACTTTGAATTTGCGTTTAATTAATGTTGTTGCCGTTAATATATTTGCTAGACTTATGATTATGTTTGAAGAGGTAATGGGTAATATTTAAATAATTTTCTAATAATTAAAGATAAAGTCAGTAATTTATTACAAATTGCCAAACTTATGTAACCTTTAGGTTTGCTTAATTAATTAATTATGTTTTTGCTACGCATTTAGTACGTTTTTTAAAAAGATTTTAAGGATTTTCGAAGTGAAAACTTCTTTAGCCTCTGTGTACACTTTTTTTGTATGGGTAAAAAATATTAAACTCGCGTCAGGTTAAACACGTGGGCTGATCGTATCATGACACACAATAAAATTGGAAAGGTTGTTGACTTTCAATATATTGGACGAAACATAGTACTATATTTTATTTTACCGTGTTATAATATTAAATTTCTATCAAGGACGTCCACGTGGCAGCTTTATTGCGATTAAAATTTACAAAAGATGTCGCTAGGTGCGCTTAAATATGATTCATGTGAGTTGATTTCTTTACAGTAGATGTCGCTAAGTGCGCTTAAATGTGATTCATGGAAGTTGATTTTTCTGAGAGATAATCTTTTTAATGTAATATAAATTGTCATGTTTGTGTACTATAGCGCAATAAATAAATATTGTATTCTACCACATACATGATAGTACTTTTATACTGATAATTAAAGCAATTCGTGCAAAATTATTCCCTAACCATTCCAAAATATCAAAAATGCACAACGTTAATATTCAAGTTTTCACTTCTGCCGGCACTCCCGGGGTCCAACCCGATGTTTTTTTTTCAAATCATAACAGTAGTTTCCGAGATTAGCGCTTTCAATCAAATAAGCAAACTTTTCAACTCGTCGTAAATTTTGCCATCTTGGAAGAATAAGCTTCGTTAAATTACAACAAAACTTGTCACCTTTTAGTAACTGGTTACCAACGCATAAACATGATATTTTCGCATGGACATCTAGATTACTATTTATAAACCTGTCCGGAAATATTATTTCAAGGTCAAAAACATTTTTCATTTTTGTTATAATCGTTTTGTGAGCACGCAATGTTGTTTTAGCATTGCATGTTCATGTCATGAAGTGTTTATAAGTTTAAAATTTGGTTTAGTTACTTTGCTACCGAGGAGCTCGATGGCGCAAGTGGTTAGCGCGGTCCGCTGCGATCGTTGAATTTAAGCAACTTTCGCAGTGGTTGGTCATTGGATGGGTGACCGAAAATTTATTACCTCGAGCTCCTCCGTGCTTTAGAAGGCACGTTAAGCCGTTGGTCCCGGCTGCATCTGCTGTCGTTAGCACCCACCAACTCGCACTGGGCCCGCGTGGTGGGTCATGGCCCAATCTCCTTATTCCATCCATAGGGAAGGCCTGTGCCCCAGCAGTGGGGTCATTAATAGGCAGATGATGATGATGACTTTGCTACCTCCTTATATTTAATATTTTCCTTTTGCCGACTTCCGTGGTGAAGTGCTGCGTACATAGGTATTTAAGGTTTTTTGACGACCTCCGTGGTTGAGTGGTTTTTACGCCGGGTTTCATGGTGTCGCCGACTTGAGGGTTCAAATTCCGGTGGGGCAGATGTTTGTGTGATGAATATGAGCATTTGTACTCCAGTCTCCATGACTGGAGCTCTTCAATTCCGCTCATCTCTGCATTACCCCCGGAGTAGTTATGAATAATGTATGTGCATTTGTACTCCAGTCATGGATGTTTAATATGAATTTCAAAGATAAGCTTATAACACATGCCTACAGTGCTTACTTTGGGGGCTAGGCTAATTAGCGCGAGTGTTGGAAATATTTATTTATTTAAAGTGTCGCCTACTCAGAGGTTCTGGGTTCGAATTCCGGATGGCAAATGTTTGTATGAGTAATTCGAGCATTTGTACATTACCTGTCGTGGCTGATTTCTAAAAAAATATACTTATTGTACTTAAGTATGTATCATCGTACTAATAATATAAATGTGAAAGTTTGTATGTTTGTTATTAAATCACGAATAAAATTACAGATTTGGATGAAATTTTGGTATGCATATAGTTTAAGTATGTCTTCGATTGAGACACAGGATACTTTCCAACCAGAAAAATTTTTAGGTTTCTGAAAAAACCAAATTTAAACCAATTATTTAAACCAAAGGAAATATAGAACAATAATAAGTAAATTATTTAAATTTTAATGTTATTGTTATATTAGGTACTAAAAAACGACTTTAATGTTGAATTCAAACAGCCGTACACTGAACAGTTATATTACCCTAATTTTTGCACAAAAAAAATCTAAGACGGGTATCTGTAGTGGATGGAACTCGCACACGCACTTCAGTGGTATTCTGTAAAATTTTCACGCGCGGATCCGATGTGGATCCACGCGGATTTATATCGGAACGGCGCGGATCCGCATCGGATCCGCGTGTGAAAATGTTACAGATTAGCACTGGCGAGTATGTGTGCTTTACGTTACGTGAGCGCACTTTGTATTTAGATTACCTTCTGTACAATCTACTTTGTACTTCTAGGATGCTTGGCATGATTTCCTCAATTTGTATTAATTGCTCAATGACTTAATTGAGCGAACACCAAATATATTAATTTAGTTAGATTGATCAATTTTGTTGTCATGGCCACACTATCTCGGTTTCGCATTTATTTGCGTTGTCGCGATATTATTTATTAGACATTCGTCCTTACGCGAATGTTTATCGCGAGTCGACACATGATATTCCCGTCGTTGTCGGTAACTCACACACGCGTAATGCATGAAGCTTTGGCTTTGCTATCTTTACTCATTTAGTAGAACTGAAAGACCTGAACAAAATCTTCAAAGTAATCACTTCTTCCACAGGTCCTGGTGTGATGAAGAACGCCTCCATCAGCAGCGGTATGATGCCGTACCTACAGATCGTACTCCACCGGTTCGACAGCAAAGGTCAGATGAGCAGAACATCGATGCCGATCATGAGTGCTGCCAAAATGGTCGCCAAGGACAAGAATATAGGTGAGTTTTGTGCAATCGGAACCCCTCCCACGACAAGGGCTAACTAGAGCTGAGGTCCGAGTCTCAGAGACGCCCTCTAGTTGAGCCGACCCCCTCAGGTTTGAGTGGTCTAGAGGCTCCAGACGGAGAGGAGACTCCCCCCGTGGGGAGATGCCATCTGTCTGGAATACCTCTAGAGGCGCTCGCCAATTTTCGGCTTGAGGTCCCCTTAGGATCTCGCCGTCCCCAAACCGGTGACGTTGTAAAGTTCTTCTGCAACCAACAGCATAAACACTCAAAAAGAAAAAAAAGAGAGTGCTTAAGACCACACGACTGAAGTGAAACTTCTTTAGCTCCAATGATCTGAAAATCATAAACTTAACCTGAAGATTTGTTGATAGAAAAAGAACTACCAATCCGCGCTGGGTTCGTTAACCCCTGCAATCCGCACTGGGTCCATTATCACCCACCAATCCTCGCTGGGTCCGGTATCACTCACCAATCCACACGGGGTCCGTTATCACCCACTATTCCGGACTAGGTCAATTGTCACCCTCCAATCCGTGCTGGGTCCGTTATCATCCACCAATCCGCACTGGGTCCGTAATCACCCACCAATCCGCGCTGGGTCCCTTATCACCCACCAATCCGTGCTGGGTACGTTATCATCCACCAATCCGCACTGGGTCAATTGTCACCCACCAATCCGCGCTGGGTCTGTTATCACCCTCCGATCCGCACTGGGTCAATTATCACCCACCAATCCGCCCTGGGTCCGTTATCATCCACCAATTCGCACTGGGTCCGTTATCACCCACGAAACCGCGCTGGGTCCGTTATCACCCAGACATCCGCACTGTGTCCATTGTCACCCACAAATCCGCGCTGGGTCCCTTATCACCCCCTAATTCGCACTGGGTCCGTTATCACCCACCAATCCGCACTGGGTCCGTTTTTTTTTTGTGGTTGATATGAGATTGGCTTAAGATGCTAATATAACGCGGGCGCTTACGGACTGCGCCTTTGGTATTAAGCTTGATTTAAGTTTTCGCTATATATGTGTTTTAGTTAATAGTATTAGTTATTAGTATTTAGGGTTTTACTAAGTGTATTTTATGATTTTAATAATATGAGTTTAAGGTTTTCTGATATGGCTTAGCTTACGTGTTATTGAATTTTTTGAAGTTTTTAATAATGTGGAACAGGTGCTTTAAAAATAGTTCACTAGTGTCATTTTTTGTAGCTATTTCGTTGAGGTTTTTAATATTTAGATTGTGCATGCTGCATAAAATATTAAGATCAGTCCTGGTGGACTGAAATCTCGGGCAACGGTAAAGTAGGTGTTCAAAGGTTTGAGGGCTGGTACTGTCGCAAGGACAGAAAGGATCTGGTGTCGCACTGGGTTCGTTATCACCCTCCAATCCGCACTGGGTCCGTTAACAGCCATCAATCCACGCTGGGCCCGTTATCACCCACCAATCCGCGCTGGGTCCGTTATTACCCACTAAACCGTACTGGGTCCGTTATCACCCACCAATCCGCATTGGGTGCGTTATCACCCACTAATCCGCGCTGGGTCCGTTATCACCCACCAATCCGCACTAGGTCCATTGTCACCCACCAATCCGCGCAGGGTATGTTATCATCCACCAATCCGCACTGGGTCCGTTATCACCCATCAATCCGCGCTGGGTCTGTTATCACCAAGCACTAGATTCATGTATTTTGTGACGGGTATTGTTCATTGTTTACCGATGAGTCACCGGTACGTACGCAAAAATCGTCACACATTCGCCAGTTTACCCCCCAAGTCAAGCGTGCCTAAAGAAGTTTCACTTCAAAAAATACCGGAGCCTCTCGTTTACAACAAAAAAACAAATTAGTTATGTACCGGAAATTTTGAGTTACCTGATAAACTTTACTAGATTATTCAGAAAATGATGAAGGTTATAAGATAATGTTAAGATAAAAACAATTTATTGCACAACAAAAACTCAAAGAACACAGAATACGAAACAAGGCAAAAACAATTACAGTTGCGCAAAGGGCGTTGTTATCGCTAATCAGCGATCTCTTCCAGACAACCCAATGAGCTGGAAGGAATATAAAGCAAGAAATTAAAGAAAATAATAAGGGAGGTTGTGCGGAGTAAAGACAAAAGTTTTGTAAAAAATATTAAACTGCAAATGGATGAAATCAATTAAAAATAAAAGCAAACATATAGGCATACAAAAACTTTCACACACTTTACAATATAATGCAACAGCCGGTATGTTCTTTTATTCCACCTTCCTTTATCATTCAGAGGACCAGGCGCTGGCCTACGTTGTCACCGTCTAACTGTGGCCATAATTCCAACGCGTAAAAAGAAATTTGGAGACTCATTTTTTGTCGCATTATCCGTAAATTGAATGCTCTGCCTGCTCACGTGTTCCCTACTTCTTACAACCTAGGGTCCTTTAAAAAAGGCGTGAGTAAGCAACATGCAGGCCGGCTACGTGAGGATTGCTGGTGTGGCAAGAAGAACTGCTGTACCAGCTATCTTCACGTCTGGACTTCACCGTCACTTAACATCAGGTGGGGTGGAGTCAATTGTCGGACCTAACCATAAAAAAATGTACTAAACTAACGTAGCAAGTTTTAATGAGAATGATGCACATTTGACAAGAAGTGTTCCATAACTAGGGATTTGAAATAAGCTAGAGTTTGGGCACGCCTTATCTTTTCCGAAAGAGAATTCCATAGTGGATAGCACGCATAGTAAAGGTGTGGCTATAAGCTTTCAAAAAATTAGAAGGTGTGAAAAGAAGAAGATTGTCAGATGAGCGAAGCGAAGATAATGGGAAGAAGAAAAAAACAGAAAACGTTCTATGAGATAAACAGAAGCTTTTGGATTAAACAGTTCTGTGAAGGGTAGGGATAAAATATGCAGATCACGGCGATGGGGAATGGGAAGCCACTTACATTTCTCTTGTAGTAAGAAACACGATCGTACTTACGCAAACCGTATATGAATCTGATGGAAAGAAAATTCAGATGCTCAAGTTTATTTAGAAGATCAAAGGTAAGATAGGGATAACAAACATCAGCATAATAGAGAATTAGTAGAAGAAGAGAAGTTGCAAGAGAAATGTTGATGGCAGTGAGCAAGAAATTACGTAAACGTCGCAAATATCCAGCCGCAGCGAAAGTTCTCCTGCTGACCTCAGCAACCTGAGGACACCATGATAGTGTTATAAAAACCGGCCAAGTGCGTGTCGTGCCATGCGCAGTGTAGGGTTACGTAGTTGCCTGTAGTTACCACAAAATATATTAGAGCAGAAGTCTTTTTTCTGTATAGGCAATTAGATAAACCAATTAATATCAATCTATGTAACTAAACTAAACTACCTAAATCAAAGTCAAACTGCGTCTCAAACTGAATCAATTCGATATATTTTTTTATTTAAATACGAACGACAACCGTCAATTTTCTTTGTATCGAATTTCGTTACAGCAATTTAGACGGCAATTGGTATAGAGATAATTTGGGTATCGGGAAAGAACATAAGATAGTTATTATATCCCAGAGTTCAACTTTTAAGGGGTAAAAAAGGGGGTGGAAATTTGTATGAGAAACGAACACATAGACTAAGTTGCCGGGTATTGTCTCGTTAACAAGCACCCTTACAATGCTTACTTTGGGGCTAGCTAATAAGGATCTGTAACGATTCTGTTTGCTTTGTTAATTATATGAAATTGCAGATTTATAGAGCTAAGAATTCCATAAAATGCAGAGGTTACATTTTTGTTCTACGTCAAATATTGACGAAGTTATGACCAAATTGCAAAAAATATCGGCTAGCCGCGTGGTGGCTGTGACGTCACAGAGCTCTGAGCTGCTACTGAAGTTCGAGCGGAGTGAACCACGATCGAGTTCGTCAAACGTTTCGGCCGCCGGTGAATATTCGCTACCAATGAATGAACCGATTTCGATGATTTAAAATGTATATTAATTAAAAAGCTTATTAGATCATTATGTTGTTGATTTTGAGTTTGATTTGCTGACCTAGTAATGATTCTCATTGGTGTGAGTGTAAGAAAAAAATATTTTTCAATAACAACTTTTCTCAACTCGATTTCAGATCTGAAAAACAAGAAGACAGTGCTGTACATGGTGGGGTACATAGACAGCTCTATGTTACCACAGTCGCAGGCGGTGGCCAGCTCGTATGCCAAGCGAGGATACAATGTCTTCATCACGGAGACCTTCACATTCCTCAGTTACATATATCCGAAGTAAGTTGATCGGTAATTATTCAATGGAACAGCGCATTTTGAAGTGCTTTTCTTAAAAGTACTCACAGATGACTGCAATTTGTAGTGCCTATCTGAGAAGTACTCACAGATGACTGCAATCGTAGCTCCTTTCTGAAAAGTACTCACAGATTTACTGTAATTGGACCGCCTTTTAAGACAGTACTCCCAGTCGATTGTATTGAACCGACTGTATTACTTACAGATGTTTGCAATTTTAGCACCTTTCTAGGAAATATTCGCAGATCCTTTCTGGGAGGTACATATCAGATGACTGCAATTGTAGCGCCTTCCTGAGAAGTAACAACAGTGAATGCAATTGTAGCGATTTTCGGAGAAGTACTAATAGATGACTGCAATTAAAGTGCCTTTCCGAGAAGTTCACACGGTTGACTGCATTGTAGGTAGCGCTTTTCTGAGAAGTACTCACTGATGACTGCAATTGGACTGCCTTTTCAGGTAGTACTTACACTCTAATGAAGTGAACAACCTTACTGAGGAGTACTCAAAGATGACTCAATGCAATTGAACCACCTTGTCTGGCAGTACTCATAGTAGATTGCAATTGAAGCGTCTTTCAGGAGAGTACTTATAGATGACTATAATTGAACCCCCTTTTTAGGCAGTACTCACAGTCGATTGTACTTGAAGTGCCTTTCAGGGAAGTACTCACTGATGATTGCAGTCGAATCGCCATATCAGGCAGTACTCCCATTTGATTGTAATCAATCTGCCGTTTTTGGGAATTACTTACTGATGATTGTTTCAAATAAACGCCTTTCTGGGAAGTACTTGCTTTAATCTGCGGCCAAACGCACTTCTGAGGCCCAAGCACGAATTTTGACAGGTCCGGGACAAGTATCGTCATTGTCAATTTTTTTAATGGAAGGAGTGAGTTTGTTCTAACATCCGTTAGGGGCGCTGCTTAGTTTTCATAGAAACTTTGACGATGCGATACGATTACAGTATCATTACCACGAACCAATATCGAATTCGTAACGTTTGCGAGTCCAAAATGTCATTGTCAAATGTTATAAAAATACTGATTTTTAGTTCTCGTTACGTACTTTGTGGCGCTGCTGTTCAAGTTTCCATACAAAATTTGACATTGACATTTCGCACTCGCAAACTATTCGAATTCGATAATGGTTCGTGCTAGGGGCACAGAGCTGCCAAAGTTCGTTCTTACGCAGATAAGGTGCCGACTTTTACAAACTGGCGGATTTTTACAATTTCAACTTAAGAAGCATTTTTAAGCATCAGCTGCTTTTATAGCAGCCCTTAGAATAAGCCAGAGTTAAATGTTTGATCGTCAAGAAAAGCTGTAAAGCTCAAATAAATTTTAATATTCACTACTGTACTCAAAATTAGCGTGGGTCGCAAAAAGTCGACAGATGTCTTTGTTTTTAATATTAGTTTGTAGTAACTTGCAGCGTACGTCATTAAGTCCGAGGAGGCCCTTAGGACGTGATGGAAAGTTCGTCCAAACTTCAGTTACGTAACACTAAACCTTATCCGTATTCCGTTATGTCGTCTATTGAATGTAGCTATCGTTAAGTTGTCTTACGAATTCCATTGTGTTAGATAACCAAAGATTCTATTAAAGAAATCAAGTCGGTGGCTGAGTAGGTACTTAATGTTTTTAAATGTAAATGTAAATTGTTAGGGAAACAGAATTCGGTCAAACAAGCAAAGAGCTCGTTTAGATTCGACCACAGGCTAAATTTTGATGCGAGCACGCGCCATAATAAACGTCTCGTAGGGTGTATTCACACTGGAGTATTTTTTTTGTGCATAATTTTCATAGTAATGTTAGAAATAAGAATAATAATTTATTGTCTTTTTAAATGCTAACAGATATTTAAATAATATTTCATTAAAAGCAAGAGAATAGGGAATGGCTCAGCCAATGTTGGTCAAGCCTGGACCTGAACCAGCCTCAAATTATCCATTATTTGATTATAATTAATATTGGAAAATATTTCGTGTATAAACGTATACTCCTACTTGTCATAGATGTTACTGGCCCTACTCGCACCTCCCATGCGTCACTGGCTAGGCCCTAGTCAAAACAAAAACAGAGCGGCAAGTGGCTATAATAATGTTATTGGGGCAACTTTTGAACTTTAATTTACTTACTATTACATATAAAATGCAGTTGAGGCGATTACATAAAAAATGCAAGAGGAGCTTGATGGCTCAGGCTGTTAGCGCTATTGATCTGCGATCGTGGATATTATAGCAACTAACGCAATGGCCGGTAATTAGATGGATGACCAAGAACTTATTATCTCAAGCTCCTCCGCGCTTCGGATGGCATGTTAAGCCGTTGGTCCTGGCTGCATCTGCAGTCAATAGCACCCACAAATCCACCCTGCCCTGTCTCTCCTTGTTCCGTCCAGAAGGCCCTGTGACCAAGCAGTGGGAATATTATTAGGCTGATGATGACATAAAAATATATTATGAATAAAAAAGTTATTGGACTATATGTTTTCTCTAGAGAAAATCTTCCCGCGCATTTTTTTAGATTTAAACATCTAGCAGTTAAATGCTTAAAAAATATATAACTATAATTGCTATTTCTTATTTCTAATGTTGAATACTTGTAAAGGAATTCTTTGACATTGTGGGATACCTACAATGCAAAGAGATGGCGCTGCTTTGCAGCCTAAGAAATGCTAGAGAAATTACGACACGGCCATCAGGGCCGCGGTAGCATAATGGTCATGCATGCGCGTGGATAGCGAAGGGTGCTAATTCGAGCCCCATCTGCTGCCTGGTGTGAAAATTTTTCTAGTTTTTCTGTAGATTTAAAAATCTGCAGAATTAAATGCAAAAAAAAAACAAAACAAAAAAACTGTAACATAGAAGTCATTTACCTAGAGGGGCGGATCCCGTAACCTATGTACATCTCCATGATCTAATATTTTGTTTGTTTATTTTTAAAACTTGAGCGATGTCACTGGAAATAACAACAACTCATGGCTGCCTTTGTTACCCGCTGCCATTTTCAAGTAGCATTAGCTCCGGTGTAGATGCACCTTTACGTTCGATAACATTGACATAAGTTTTATCTGTGGACACTGGACACAATTTAAATTGAGAATGTTGATGAAGCGTTAAAAAAATTTGCATGCTCCGCACGATTTAACGAAATAATTTAGCGGGAGGTGTAGAATTACAAGATGTTAAATTAATAGCTGTGACACACAACGGGACATTGGCGAAAGGAAATTGCTCTGCTTCCATACATGTTTGGCCTAAAGACCAATAATCATGAAAAATTGTTTCCTAGATTCGAAATTATATATAAATTACTGTAGACACGAATATTATTGACGGACACCCCTGAGAACTTCTATAAACCATATACACTGAATGATTTTGAGGTTATGTTTGCAAATAAGTACATAGGTATTAAAATAATAAAAATCAAATAAGTTATATAGCAAACTAGGGAAATCAAACCAAGTACCGAAATTATGTATTGGATTCAGGTATATAAAGCATGTAGATTAATAGATAGTTGCCTGTTTTTAAAGTTAATGCATAAGAGTAACTTTTAAAATCAGGTATCATCTATGCATTTCCGGTTTAATAAGGTACTCCGTGACAGAAACTGTGTGTTATTTGTGAATGAGCCACAGATTAGAGAGAATTTTTAAACTGTCGTTAACTAAAGAAAGCTTATTATTTTTGTTATGTTTATATTATAACCATATTTTAGATTTTAATCTATCACACTTTATAATGTGTTTATGGAGGTGTTTGGCGAAAAATGTATGCCAATAGACTTTATGATGTCACCTACCATCTATAATATTTGTCTTAGCACATTTGCAAGTAGTAAAAATGTGTAGATAATATACTTGTGGATATTAATACCACAGTGTAATAAAAAAAATGTTTTATGTTATCGATCTTTACAAAATAGATTTGTTTTGGTGTTATTTATACAACTTCGATCAGTCTTTGGCTGAATGTTACTACACCCATAGCCATTAAAAATGATTCGTATGTTTTCCAAACCGGTAAAATTATAAGTCCTTTTTAAAATGAATATATTATACAAAGGTGTCCGTTAAAATCTAATGACTGTAAAATAAAGTATAAATTACGCCAAGAATTACCGTATATGTCAATATTTTTTGTACCTTTGGGCCAATTTGAGCAATCTCCTTTCTGTGTAAATCGGAAACAGCCACAGAACAAAAAAAAATTGCTGTGACAGATAGTTTTGTGGCAGTGCCCAAACCCTTTCGATTTTGAGGGTTACGTATGAAGATAATTTTTCTTAGGAATATTTTTCTTACATGGAGGTGTCAAACTTAATTATAATAAATACATAGTTCTGTACCTCTTGGAGCAGTGAAAAAACCTCTAAGCCAAAAAAGCGGCCGTTTACGCACCTTTCTTGTTTTTGAGTGTGTATGCTGTTGGTCTCAGATGACCTTTACAGCGTCATCGGGTTTAGGGGACGGCGAGATCCTAAGGGGACCTCATGCCGAGAATTGGCGAGTGCCCCTAGAGGTATTCCGGGCGGATGGCATCTCCCCACGGGAGGAGTCTCCTCTCCGTCTGGAGCCTCTAGACCACTCGAACCTGAGGGGGTGTTTACGCACTGCTTATGCCGCAAACTTTTGCTCGGAAGGAAATTGGAGCGCCGTCTGGGGGAAGTAACCTCCACCTTACAGACGACGACAGTAAAATAGCACTACCTTTTGGTAGTGATATATTTCTGTCGGAGAGTAAGATTCCAGGGCTCCACGGGGTAGGGGAATGGGTCAGGGTAGGCAACGGCGCGAGTGATATTTTTGAAGTTATACTTCTTTAGGCGCGTTATGAAAAAATGATGAGAGTGAAATTTTTAGATGCGCGCGCATCACTGTAACCCAAAAGTAACAGCATGAAGTTGGCCGCGGGCGCGTTATGAAAAAATCATGTGAGTGAAATTTCGAGATGCGCGCGCATCACTGTAACACAATAGTAACACCATGAAGTTGGCCGCGGGCGCGTTATGAATGTTAGTGTCTAATAATGGTGGATTATTAACCACTTAGTGGTTAATAATCCACCATTATTAGACATCTGTTCGAAAGGTACTTTGAACGATCCACGGAGCTCCATAAGATGATCGCGTTGTCAAAAACAATGTTGGCACGCTCGTCGCCTCTGATCACTGTTTTCATATTTATAATATTTATCCACAGGTTTCTAGTTTCTATATAGACACAACGTGTTTTAGTTACTTACATACAAGTGCTAATTACATATGGACTAATAACTTAAATTCAGTAGTGATTTTAATTGAATATTTTGAATATTTATTTAATTTTTCAAATTAAAACTGAACTTAATTGACTGTGTTAACTATCCTTTTCCAGTCCTTTTATTATTTTATTGTAATTATTAATTATTTGCATGCAATTAAAAAATATTTTTAATGATGCTAAAGAAGTATAACTTCTCACAACTTATGTACATAAGTTACACGCATCCTTTTTTTTTTGTAACGCTAGCGTCTATATAGGGTATGGTGATCGCTTACCATCAGGCGGGCCATATGCTTATTTGCCACCCTTTTAAAACATAAGTAAGGGAATCCAAACCAATAACTCACTCCGTGATGTAAATCCTCCGTCAAGAAATTGGAAAGAAGGAGTGCCTTGAAGCATAAGTAAAGGAATAATTAAAGAATCAAGAAAAACATTGAAGTAATAAAAATACAATTAAAATGTTTTAATTACAAAAGCTTAAAACTACTTATTATTGTCTAAAAACTTAAAAAGAATTAACTATTTATTTTATTTATTACTAGCTAGTATGTACCACAAATTATTGTTTTTTTCTTTTTAAATGCTCTTGTGATTTACATTCTTTGGTGGTTAAAGAAATTCTCAGATTAATATGTTATGAAAAATCAACAGATTTCTATAAAAATGTCATAAAAAAGAAAGTAATTCCTTCTAAAGAAAAGTTTACTAGAAAAAAAAAAGGTTTACTAGAAAAAAAATCCACGCGGACCAGGCAGCGGACGGGACTCGAACCCGCATCCTTCGCAATCCGGGCGAATGCACTGATCATTATGCTACCACGGCCCTCTTTTTCTAGTAAACTTTTCTTTAGATTTAAACATCTAGCAGTTAAATTCTTAAAAATAAATAAAATCATAAGTAATTCCTTATTAGCCAGAACTCTAAAATAAGGAGCTATTTTTACACAAATAGTTATAATGACAAAGCCGTGAACAGAGTACCTGCCTCGGCTATTTCATTTATTGTAAGGTACCTTTCTCGTTACAACACTCGCTGTAATTAATCTTTGTTCTAATTCCAATGGTTTTCTGAGAAAAGCAACTCCATTAAAAGGCTATTAAACGGTATTGGATCTCACCTGTATCGGTAAGATTCATCTTCTTCACTAAATGCTCGGCAAATACGCTCACCTGATGTATCTCAATTAGTTTCTTGAACCATCGAATGAGTGTAAATCCGTGTGATCAGCAATGCTATGTAGAAAGGTAATTGGCATTTAATACGTCAGCAATCAGTGATCTGTACCCCAAGCACGAACCAATATCGAATTCGTATCGTTTGCGAGTCCGAAATGTCATTGTCAAATGTGTACTGATTTTTAGTTCTCGTTACGTACTTTGTGCCGCTGCTGCTTAAGTTTCCATACAAAATTTGACATTGACATTTCGGTTTGCAAACTATTCGGGGTACAGTACCCCTAGCACGAACCAATATCGAATTCAAATAGTTTGCGAGTTGTCAAATTTTGTATGGAAGCTTGAACAGTAGCGCCACAAAGTACGTAACGGGAAATAAAAATAAGTATATATTTAATTTGCTAAGGGTACTGTACTCTTAGTACGAACCAATATCGAATTCGAATAGTTCGCGAGTCCGAAATGTCAATGTCAATTGTATGGAAACTTGAACAGCAGCGCCACATCGGACGTAAGGAGAACTAAAAATCAGTACAAATTTGACAATGACATTTCGGACTCGCAAACGATACGAATTCGATATTGGTTCGTACTAGGGGTACTGTACCCTTAGCACGAATCAATACTTTGTGGCGCTGCTGTTCAAGTTTCAGTACAAAATTTGACATTGACACTTCGCACTCGCAAACTATTCGAATTTGATAATGGTTCGTGCTAGAGGTATTGTTGTTATTTTTAAGGCAGTTGTTCCACCGCCGGCTTGGAAGCGACTAACTATCGGCTGTTTTCTCGCTCAACAAAAGTTACTAATAAACGAAGACTATGCTTGGATTAGTTACTTCATGTTTTGTCTCTGTTCATTGAATGACAAATGGCACTTGAGTGATATGAGCGAAACACGGTGTAACTATTCGAACCTTATTCCTATTACATCTTAAGATCTACTCTTAAGTTACGTACAAAAATAACTTTGAAACCTATTACGGAGACCCGAAGGAGAGTGCACAACTAAACCTTTATCGCTAAATGTCAAAAATTCGGCACATTCGACTTACCTATATAACCGAATGCATAATATTAAGATACTGGTTATTGATCATGTGATTAACAGGGATTACAAAAATATTGTTACGAATTGGATAAAAACGCTTAATTATGAAGACACAGAGGTATTCCTTACATAAGTGATTAATAAAACATGCACAAACACTTACACAAATGTATATACACGCATACTCACACACATGCACACACACACACACACACACACATACATATACCTCTACGAAAATATTTGTAATTTTAACTGTTCGGATTGTGAGTCTTGTATAATCATTTTAGTTAACATTTTGTGTATTTCAATAATGTTATATTAACTTAAGAAAAATGATTGCAATTATTGTATAAATAGCATCATCTAGATACTTACCTGCAGTGCGCAAGAGCGCGGGTTCTCCTGTTAAATTTTATTAACGTGCCCAGTTCAATAGCAGAAATAAATATTATTGTTTTAATCGATCCATACAAAAAGAAACATATAACTTTTAATGAGAACAGTGAAATTACCGATTTAGATTGGAGGTTCAAAATCTTCCCTAACTATCTAGAGCGTCTTAACATAAATCATCCACGTCAGACACGAACAAAAAGACAACTTTATAATATATTATCAAACGTTATCTTCGTTTTTTCAATGTTCCAGGTCGGTTCGTTTAACCCGAGTCATCGGCAAGAAAATAGGAGAGTTCTTGGTCAATTTGAATGAACAAGGCATGCCTGCTGAACAGCTAGAGCTGGTGGGCTTGAGCTTAGGTGCCCACATCGCTTCTTACGCTGCGAAACATCTATACGCCGTTACAGGGAATAAGCCTTCAAGAATAACTGGCTTAGACCCAGCAGGTCCTTGCTTCAGATCACTACCTCCACAATATAAACTGAATCCATCAGACGCTGACAATGTAGACGTAATACACACCAACATTGATGGATTTGGTATAGCTGAACCGTTAGGACATGTAGATTTTTATGTTAACGGTGGCGAGTTTCAACCGGGCGATATAGCTTACATACCCTGCTTGGTAGTCTGCAGTCATTTCAAATCAGTAATTTACTGGTGGCAAGCTTTGAAACATCCCACCAAGTTTATAGGTGTGAAATGTGATTCTGTACAAGATGCGAGAATAGCCGGTTGCTACAATAACACTGAAACGAATGTTGTAGGAATGAAAACCAATTTCAGTGAGCCTGGTATATTTTATCTGTCTACGACAAATGTGTTCCCTTATTTTAGAGGGAAAGAAGGGTTGGTACCTGAGAACGAGATTTACACTTCCGTCATAAGAAAAATTAATGATGGTGATTTTGTTGTGTGATGTTAAGTTTGGACTAGAATTTGGTGATGTGACTGTCGTTTTAGCAAAATTTTTCAACCATTCTCATTATGTAACCGTCAGATGAAGTCAAAACAACATTATAAAATTAGCAACGTATAGATTATAGACTTTAAGTTTAAATTGATGTTAATATTAAGAGATCAAGTGGTGTCAATTCTGACACGATTCTCTAAACCTAAACTTAAATTTGACAACAGCGTATCTTTGTCATTCTCTATACGGAATGAAAAGGAGAGATTGATGGTAAATTTAGTTTTAAGTTTAGAGAATCACGCCAGAATCGACACCACTGTATACTTAAGTTTATTTGTCCTGGTAAATATTTATAATAATACACACACCAAGAAATCTGAACAACATGCATCAATACCGCAAACTACAAGTTTTATCAGCTGATATATTATATTATCGTTATGAAATGTGATTAAATCAATGGTTTATTGTTTTATTCACTAACACAATATTTAAAAGCGGCCAAAAGTTCAAAAATGTTTATGTTGCTTAGACTTTTTGATGAGTGTATATGTTATAACTATTAACGGGATTGTTACCAGTAACTTGTTTTTTATGAGTCTCAGATATTTCGGCACTGTTGCAAGCGCCATGATCACGGAGTAACTGAAGTAATTGCGGGTAGATGTTATTGGCAGACATATCGGTCTAACCTCTGACGTCGTCTTTTACTGCGCTTGATACCCCTACCATTGGTCACATTTTCACTATTCACTCGCACCTGTTCCCGACACACAATACTCACAGTATCAGATTGCGGAACGACACTTTTGATTTTTGCGGTTTTTGCACATACGGAATACAATTCCGTTAATAGCTATAATGTTAGTGACCATGAAAGTTTAAAACAATATAGTGTATATGCTGTTATGGCAAAACTTAAAAATTAAACAGACTGAATTTTCCAAAAGGGAAATGGGAAATAAATAAACAAGCAATGAAATTTTTTTATTTATTTAGCAGCTGTGAACGTTGAAAGCTTGCTTTGAATTCAGAGCACAGTGTGGTTCTGATTCTAGAGCATTCTTAAACTTCAAATGTAAATAGACAAGAATATAAATAACTAGTGGAACACTTCAGGGCACATGTTATTTGATATCTTAGGTGATAAAAGCTGATGATAGTTAGAAACTTTACTATCTACAAAGCGTCTAAGCACTTCACTTTAGTTCAAGTATGTATATAGGTGTTTAAATCATTCGAGACAGGCTTTAACTGTATGTTAATTATGATATTTTTCATGTTGACCAAGAGACAACCGTGTAATATAAAAAATAAGGAGGACTAATTATTGATCCTTAAGAACCTCCAAAAGGACCTTAAAAACAATCTCTGGGGATCTAACGTTAGTGTATTATACTTATTGAAATTCTTTTAAAATATAGTTCATTAACGACAGTATTTTTCATTGTTACTAACTTGTATTAATGTTTAATGCTAAGAGAATATAAAATTGTTGTAAAACATCATAAATAACATTTTGAAATATTTCAGATAAAATACTTGTGTGTGAATAATGTTAATATTTATTTTTCTTCAATGATGAAAACAATTGAAATCTGCAATATAAAAACTGTGATTTTAGCTTGTAGTTTAATTAAAATAGTGTGAATAATAAAAATAAATTTATGTGTGGAAATAACTTTTGTATTTAATTTTCAGAATACAAATATGTGACCTAAAATGTTTCTGAAAAGATTACTTAAAACGTGTATATTGTTGAACATATTATTATAGCCTTTTTATTTCCTTAATAAATATTTAATATACATGCCATTCATTCAGTACAACTTGAACATATTATGTAAATTAAATAGCACTTAAACCAAGGAGTGACGATTTGCGCAAGGTGGCTGGCAGGAGCTGGATGCGAGTAGCGATCTGAGTGGCGTGCATTTGGAGAGGCCTATGTCCAGCAGTGGACTAAGGTTGATGATGATGAAACCAAGTAGGCTCTTTTACAGAGAATGATAGGTAAGTAAGTACCATTGATTTGATGACTCTAAAATTAATAATAATTTTAATCTAAATAAGCTTTGGAATCATTAAGGATGGCCGTTTATAGTTTTTTAATATCAAACTGATTGTGAGAACCTAATGAAAATCAGATCAGTATTTTTTGAGTGAGACAGGCAGAAAGACGAGGTAAGGGTTTTGTAATTTTATTTAAAATGTATTTTAACCTACTTATACAATTTATTGCTTGTCAATGAGTAGTTAGATAGTTTTTCTAGTCAATCAGAAATCAATATATCTTTATTCAAATTGGATGTATCTCTTTTGAATCGTCCAAATTTTTTTTCCCTTCCACTCGTTATGGACATATTTATTAGCCGCGGAGAAAAACCAGCGAAAAAAACTCCACAACATTAAAAGTCTAATGTAACAACATTTACAAATCATTATGTTGTTACAACGTCAATACAATTATGATTTATTTGATATAGAAAACCTGTTGGAATGATTGGAACAGTTCAAACCCAAGCATTTTTGTATGTAATATAATCAGACACTTTGTAATAAGCTTTTTTAATAAGTGCTTTCTTTATACTATCTTTAAATTTATTTATGTCTAACTCTTGGCTAGTGCTTGGGACTTTATTGCATAGTAGTTACTAAATAAATGATTTGTTGTGGTAACATCTCGAAAGCACCGACGAATTGAGAACCTCTTCCACCCTGAATTCGGTTAAAAATACACAAGTATCTACCGCTACCCATGTCCATTCTCATAAACGCAAACAATGACCGCTCCCGACAAATGTTGATGCCATTGTAAATTGAACGGGGTGGCAAAAAGTCCGCTTTCATTAACGGCGCATGTTTTAATTCAACAAGCAGCGTCGAGAGACGGGGCAACTTCACCGCCAGATTACCCGCGAATGAGGCCTTGTTTCGTCACGGACAAGTGTGCTATGCCACTGGGTGTTTATGGTGCCGTCACAAATGTAAGTTCAACTTAATTCTTGGTTCAACTGATTGATTTAAGTTCTAATAACTAATTTTAGTTCTTAGTTCAACTGCAAACAACCTTCGCCAGCACATAAAACTACGGTAGTAAGTATACACATGGAGTTTGATGACGCAAGCGGTTAACGCGTTCGGCTGCGATCGTTAAAGTTAAGAAACTCTCGCAGTGGTCGGTAATTGGACTCAAACCCGCACTCTTCGCAATCCGGGCGAATGCACTGACCAATTATGCTACCACGGCCCTGATGGCCACGTCGAAATTTTCCTAGCCTTAAGCTGCAAGGCAGCGCCATCTCTTCGCATTGTAGGTAACCCACAATGTCAAATATTTGTTTCTATGGTTTTCACGCGCATCCTCCTTCTCAATATCGGAACCGGTGGTAGTTTACAGTAGTTAGGGTCAATTAAATAACTCAAAATTTCAGAAAAGAACTTTAAATAAAGTACTTTATTAACTAAATTAGCTAATAAATTCATAAATAGATAATAAAGTTTTAAAAATTTTGCATTATAATATTCGATTCGAATGTAGCTCGACAAAGTAAATAAAAAATCATTATTCTGACGATGCAGACCTGAAAAGGCTGCGAAACGTCAATAAATAAATAAATTTCGTGCATTAACCCGTTAAAACTAGATTTATTTCTTTAGAAAATTTGACTTAAAAAAATCCACGCGGACCAGGCCGCAGATGGGACTCGAACCCGCACCCTCCGCTATCCGGACGGATGATGGAAAGAAGTTTATGAAGTGAAAAATTTCACTTCAAAAACAGCTCCTTACTCGACGAGTTAAAAAGTGGTTTTTCTCAGTAGGTACAGTTTCGCTAGTTGACCCTTTTTGGAAAAAGGTTTTAAATGGTGAATAAATGTTCTATTAGACCGAAAAAAAATGTATTGTATTTTTTTGAGACCTAGAAAGCTACAAATCTTTAATTTTAAAATAGAATTTTCATGGACATACAAAAACGCTGTCGGCCATTTTAGTCTATAGATTGTCTATGCTATGATGTCAATTATAGTAAACAAAAACTCGTAAGCACGTAGAAAATAACTTATCTGAGTTTATGATAAAAAGAACACGATTTCTAATAAATACCACGAAAAATAAAGTAATTATCATTATTGTATTGTACGAGAATATAAAAACACATCCTTGAAGACTCCAGGAATGTTATGGATTAAAGTGCCGAAAGAAATTAACCTACGCAACTTTATTACACTTATTCATATGTTGTATCAGTTTTATGTTTATTACTACATTGTAATACTAAATGCACTGTACTTACATAGATGCCTTGTCGTTTCTCTGCTCAGCAGAGCAAAAATGGGGGTTAGTGCAAAAAATTCACCAACCATCAATGCGTCAATTCTTGGCAGATTTGTGCTTTCTGCTTTCACAAAGCCGGCATCCATAATTAGTTTTGTCAAAAAAAAAAGTAAACGGAAACTTTTCTAAAGTTAAAAGTGTTTTAAGATAAATTTATTCAGACTAAAGAATCCACCCACAATAACACGCGAATGACATTTAGTTGTTTACTGAAAGAGACGTCACAATCATGGCGGATGTGGCGAACAGCGTTTTTAGTGTTTAAAAAATATAGACTAAAAAATATTTTTTAAAATTAAATTTCTACAGCAATCTTCTGCTTTTATGAAGTGAAATCGATATATTTAGGTTCCTTAGACCAAATACTGTAAGAAATAAACATTTATTTAATACAATTCGATATGAGTCAACTAGCCTATTGCGGACTGTACGCGCGCAGAATTCACGAGTACTGGAATTCTCAGCATGGACTTCTACTGATTGTAAATTTCATTATTTCCAAAACACACAACACACGTAATGACATTAAAATTTAACTAGTTTCCCAATAATTCAACTATCCATAGCAGGAGTTAGTACATATTAACTTATAGACGAATAATAATTCGTTACAAAGCAACCGATGTAAATTTATTCCAAGGGTAGTTTAGACTTTAATATATTCGGGCAGAGTCGTGATTTCAATGTGATTCCATTATGACGGCAGGATTTCAAAATACCGCGTTCACTTTACACCCTTATTAATCAACGCTTACTCCTGCCTCGCTAATGAGAACCATTTCAAGTAATCTGAAAGCTAAGTAATTTCAGCATATGAGGTAAAATTAGTTGCAAAACTTATTTGGCTTCTAAGATTCTAATTTAAAGTATTTGTCATCCTGCTTATATAATATTATAAATGTGAAAGTTCGTGTGTTTGTTACTCAATGAATCAAAAACGTCTGAACGGGTTTTGAATGAAGATACGCATGTAGTTTATAACCTGGATTGCGACATAGGCTACATTTTATCCTGGAAAA